AATTATTTCTGGTCTCTCCTTAGCTCAACCAACACTACTTTTCATCCCATACATCACTGAATTTCACAGACATCCCTGAAGTGTTTGATTAAGTAAACAAGTGAATCACAGTGGAGTCTCAATCAGTTAGGAGGGTAGATTGATTTTGAAAAATCATCACACCAAATAGTAAAAGATCTTCAAGCAAAAAATAAAATAAAATAAACAACTAAAAAAAACCTAAGAACTAAAACCAAATGTTGTTGTCACTGATTCTATACTCGATCCTCATAAAGACTGAAAAAATCCGTTGCCATCAAGTCAATTCCAACTCACAGCAACCCTACAGGACAGAGTAGAACTGCCCCATAGAGTTTCCAAGGCTGTAATCTTTACGGAAGCACACTGCCACATATTTCTCCAGTGGAATGACTGGTCGGTTCGAACTGTCAACCTTTTGGTTAGCAGTCAAGCACTTAACCACTGCCGAGGAAACCCTAAGGGGCAGTTCTTACAAGGTCACTATGAGTTGGAATCTACTGGATGGTACACACCAACAAGAGACGACATCAGTAGGGAGAGAATGTAGATAGAAATGCAGATAGATCAAGCCCTGGGGAACTTCTTAGAAGTTGGAAGAGAAATAATCCAGCCAAGAAAAGATAGTGTTTCAAGAAGAATGGGGTGGGTTACTCTACCAAATGCTGGTGAGAGGTCAAGAAATATGGTAACAGAAGAGTTAACACTGGATTTGGCGAAGTGGTGATCATTAGTAAATGTGACAAGAGTCGTTACTGTGGATTGGTGGAGACAGAAGTAAGCTAGGAGTGAATACAGAAGAGAATGGGAGATGAGGAAGCAGCGACAGCAGCTATGGAACAATTCTTAGTAGAAAGTTTACGAAGAAAGAAAGAAGAGATGAGGCAGTAGCTAGAGGAAGACAGGGTAATCAGGGTATTTTCTTAAGATTGGAGCCACTAACCAGAGAATTTTTGTATAATAATCTAACAGATGACCTAATTCTTTTTTTAACTCGAAGCATCTAGACTAAATAGCACAGTTCTGTTACAGTAAATTTATTTTCCATTGGACATTATGCATTATACAAAAAATATTTTGCCTCCTAAATAAAATCATAAATAGGACTATTCCTAGGGGGTTTCTATATAAAAAATCATTAGTTTTAAAACCAAACAATATTTAAAATGTATATAATATTGCTGTGCTGTACTCAAATCATCAAAAAAAAAAATCAAGATGAAGATCTAGCATGGTCATAAAATGCTACAATTGCCCATATAAAAGACTGTATTTTTTAGGAAAGTTATAATTCTTGATGCTTAATTAATTGTAACTTTCCATCAACTTCAAGCTGGTTTTACCCTTCCAAATACGTATGTAAATGAGGTGAGCTTAGAATTTTCTATAATTTTTTCTATTACTTACCAAATTTTATTCTAGATATATTCTACCTGTAGCATGACAAAATATCCTTAGGAGAGGTTGACAGCATATTAACCAGCAAGAGAAAGCACTGCTACCACATTTACTAAGACATGTAGTTACTAGTTAATATTTCTAACAATTAATAACGATCTGCATATAGTAGACATAAGTTGTACAACACTAGGCATCATTACAGCATAAAACAGAATATGCTCAAACTAAGAGATAATAGAGTGAAGTCAAGATCAAATAAAAGGCCTACAATCCCATCAAGGTGAGGAAAAGAAGGTGGGGATGGATATTGCTCTTGGGATTTACCTGTGGCTTAATTTATTAATTCTCCAAATTTTAAGTCAATTAATTAAATTTCTATTCATTTTCTATTCTCAATACTGCCACCAACACAGAAAATTAACCACAAAAATGTTAAAACTAACTACTTCTTAGATACTTGCCCATCCTCCTGAATTAAAAGCGTATTATTTCTTTAATAAATAAAAATTTAAAACAAACTGAACCACCTCCAAAGCATGCCAAAGAGTATAAACAGATACTAAGTAACATCTTTTCTTTGTTGATGTCACCTAAGAAAGGCCTCCTGTCACCATACAACCTATTAATTTTTCCCTACTGTTCTCCATCACAGCACTCTGTTCGTTTTTTTTTTTTTTCATTGTGCTTATAAAACTGCTAATTATTTGCTTACTTATTTATGGTCTGTCTTCCCCGCTGGACTGAAAAGCAGAAAATCATGCATGTTTTAATCACCACTGTATAACTGGCTCCTGCTCAGACACTTGGTATTATATATGGTGCCCCCAAAATATTATTTAATTTATGTGAATGAGTGAATGTGTTTAATAGTCTACCAAGACCACCTAGGAAAAAGGTCTTGTGGCAGAATTACAGAAAATAACTTTCCAGTTATACAAGCTTATATCATATTAAAATAATATCATCTAAAAATAGCTTTGTTCTTTAATCTGTTCATATGGTGAATTATTTTGATTTATTTTTGATGGAGAATAGTCTTGTAATACCAGGATAAAAACTGCTGTTCCTCATGATATATTATCCCTTCTATATATTGCTGGATTCTATTTGCTAATATTTTGTTGAGGGTATTTATATCCATGTTCATGAGGGATATTGGTCTGCAATTTTTCTTATAATGTCCTCAACGGGTTTTGGTATCAGGGTAGTGCTGGACTCATGAGTTGGGAAATGTTCCCTTATCTTATGCTTACCTTCTTATGCTTACACATTTACCTTATCTATATCGTTATGAGTCAGAACCAACTCAATAGCACCTAACAACAACACAAATATATGTAGAATTGGTATTATTTCTTCCTTAAATGATCATCTCAACAGATGCAGAAAAAGTATTTGAGAAAATTCAACACTGATTCATGATAAAGTCTCAGTAAACTAGGAAAAGAAGGGAACTTCCTTACCCTGATAAAATGCATATACAAAAAACCTACAGCTATCACCACACTTAACGTAAAAGATCAAATGTTTTCCCCTAATATTGGGAACAAGACACCACTCCTACTCATATTAGTACTGCAGGTTCTAACTCATTCAATAAGGCAAGAAAAAGAAATAAAAGGCATATAGATTGAAAGGAAGAAATAAAACTGCCTATGCATTAACAACAGGATTGTCTGTACAGAAAATCCCAAAGAACTTAACCCAAAAAAAGCCACTAGAACTAATAAATAAACGTAGCAAGATAGCAGAATACAAAGTTAATATACGAAAATCAATTGTATTTCTATATATGGCAATGGAAAATTAGAAAGTAAAAACTGAAAAAGTAGTATCATTTACAATAGCACCCAAATTCATTAAAAATTTAGGGACAGAATATGTGCAAGATCTACATGCTGAAACTACAAAATACTGACTAAAAAATCAAAGACTTAAGTAAATGGAGAGATGTACCATCTTCATGGGTTCCAAGAGTCAACATTGTTAAGATGCCAATTCTCTCCAAAGTTTATCAATATATTCAAACCATTTGCATCAAAATCACAGGAGGACTTTTTGTAAAAATCAACAAACCGATTCTAAATTCATATGGAAAGGCAAAGTAACTGGAATAGCCTAAACAATTTTGAACAAGAAAAACAATGTTGGAAGGTTCAGACTATTTAATTTGAAGACTTATTATAAAAATACAGTAATCAAAACAGTGTGGTACAGGCAAAAGAACTGACACATAGATCAATGGAACAGAAAGAAACCCCAGATATATGGTCACCTGATTTTTCACAGACATGAAAATAGTTTTATATTAGGTTTGAGGGAAATATGCTTATTTCCTACAGGTACTAAATCAGAAATTGTAAATACTGATGACTTCAGCCTGAAGTTTTCTCTGTTTTGATAAAGGGGACAAAATGTGTTAGAAAAAAAAAGAACAGCAAATTTCAAAGTGGGGAAAACAAAAGAAAATTAACATTGATAGGAAAGTACACCATGAGAATAATACAAAAAAATATATGTTGGATTTTAAGCTTTGTACATTTCTAAATTATTAAAGAGATAAGAGCTGGGGGAATAATAGTCATTTCAAAAGCATATAGTTAATCTGAATAATATGGTAAAGGGTTTGTTGCTAATATTAAGATAAAGTATTTCTATTTCTTTCCTTATGTAAGGAATTTGCTACAAGCTTTGAAAACCAGAATTAAGCTTTTAAATACACGACGAATTCCCTGGTGATGAGAAGGAAAATTATGGGGAGGGGGGAGTTTATCATATGATATACATACTAAGGGGGCAGCAAAAAGTAAACGAACTATGTAAAATGAAAAACAGGATAAGGCAAGACTCATCTGAACAAATCAAAAGTTGACACCTGGCAGCACTTTTGTTTCTTTAATGGAGTGGCTAGGCGATGTTCCCTCATTCCCCAAACCACAACCTCGAGGGAATGAACTCATGGGTTGTAGGTGGCAAAGAATGGCGTGGGTACTATTATACTGGACTTTCTATGGTATAGAAGCAACTAAATTTCCAGTTTTAAAAAACTAGGAGGGAAAGGGGGTGTGGCAGGGAAAAGAAGTGACTTGATGGGGCAAGAGAAGATGATTGGAAGATGATTTCATAGTGCAGGCGGTGGATGAAATTACAAGGACTGGGTGGGCGAGTTTACAAAGCTTGGAGTCAGGAAGTGTAGGAAAATTAGTCACTCAGAAGGTACAGGAGAAGGAAACTTATGGAATTTGCACTAGAAAAAGGCAAAACGAAGAGGGAAGAGAAATAGCAGCAGGAACGTTGAGAATGAATGTTCCTCAAGCCTCAGGCCCCGAGTCTCCAGGAAACGTGATGACCAGGGAATGGGGCCAGAGGAGGGGCTGAGGCAGTTGGGGGCATCTCCAGGAGTCAGGTGGGAAGGAGCCAGCTGTGAAAAGAGGCGAGCCTGCCTGGAGCAGAACAAGAGGGAATCTTTATGGAACGAAATCCCAGACCCCCAGGGAGCATGGAGATGGAAGCAGGCAGGGATGCTGGCTGAGTAGGTAGAAAAGACTCCGGGGTCCCGAGCGACAGACACCTCCACTCACCTGGTTTGTGACCTGAAAACGAAACAGAGAACACGCTTTAGAGACAAATACTCTGGACTAGCTGCAGCAGCAGCTCAGCTCCCTCCACCGCAGCCCCAGGCCCGAACCCTACCAGCGCTCACCTCGGGATTGGCCTCTAGTGGTAGCCAGCGCTGACCCTCCATGGCTGCTCTGCCCAGACCTTCTCCACCTCTGACAGCAGCCGCTGTCGCCACTGCCACCGCCGCTTCCGCCCCCACACGCCTTGACCCGGAACCGTCCAACCCACATCCCCAGGGGGCGTATCGAAGAACGAGGGCGAACTTGACAATCCTCTAGTGCCTTCCTTGCTCTCTGCCGAGCCACATTTCAAGTCTTATATTTTAAATTAACATGCAGTCGAGGAGGACAGAATAAAAGCCATCTCTCTATTCAGGAGGAAACAGAATCCGACTCATGGCCCGCCCCCCTCACGCTTGGACTCTCCTCATCCCAGCCCAGTATTTGCGCTCTACACATGCGCCAAGCGCTGGTCTGGAACCGCGTGCTCTGGCTCTCTCCCATTCCCACAGCGCCAGTCAGAGGCACTAGGGGGCGTGCTGTTGAGTCCTAGCCTGCGAGAGAGGAGCGGGGCCAGTCACTCAGAGGCACAAGGCCAAGCGGTGCCCTGGATTTGTGTCCTAAATGGCTGCAGAAGTGGTATGTTGGCCTTGTCTGATGTTGCCGAGTGAGGGAGTATTTCTCTATATCTACTAAGTTCAGTTTGACAAAAAGTGTTGAGTACCTGCTTTGAATCGGAGACTGTACGAAGTGTTGAAGACTCCGGGCTGAGCGCTCCGTGGAGTACAGGAGGTGCACAAGAGAACGGAGAATCCCAATAAAGTATGATACCACGGGGTAGTGGTAAACATGAGGTGTGATGGAACTACAGACAAGTGCAGCTAGAGGGGGAAGGAGTGTCCAGAAGGCTTCCTGGAGAAGATGGAAACCTGGACTGATCCCTTAGAAAGAAGGGTGCTCTGAAGAAGGGAAGGTGTGCGTGTGGCTGCAGAACCTGCAAGAGAGAAGGACAGAGGTTAGAGGTGATACCGGAGAGATAAGGAGCTTATCTTGAAAATAAGGACCCTGGTGGCTTAGTGGTTAAGGGCTCAGCTGCTAACCGAAAGGTGGCAATTCGAACCTACCAGCCACTCTGCAAGAGAAAAGACCTGGCGATCTGGCCCTGTGAAGATTACAGTCTTGGAAACCCTATGGGGCAGCAGTTCTACTCTGTCCTATAGGGTCGCTATGAATCGGAATTGACTCCATAGCAACAACGGGTTGGTTATCCTGAAAATGACAGGAAGCCACGAAACGATTTTAAACAGGATATTTCATATTGCTGTTCTACCAGACTGTAAGGCCAGCAGCAGTGTCTTTCTTCTCCTCCTCTCCCTCCCCCTTCCCCCTTTACCTTACCTCCTCCTCCTCTTTTTCTTCTCCTCAGACTCCTCACTCACAGGCTGAGTTTACTCCCACAATGTCAGAGAAGGCACTGGACAGAAAGCAGGCTGACAAATGGTACACACTTGAGGTGTGGTGTTATGAACACAAGGTGGAACTTAGCTTGAATCGTCCTCAGCAGCGGTGGCTAAACTTAGAGGTGAACCAAGGGAATGTAATGCAGAGTGCCAGAGATGTCTGCTACAGTTTACCCCTTGCACTGCACTTGTGCCCCTACATTAAATCCAGGCTGCCCCTACATTAAATCCAATCTGCAATCTCTATAAGAAACTTCATGGGCAACATTTCTGGAACAAGCTACAGTCCCTGCTGCTGCAATGGTTTCAAGGCCATCAGCAACTTTTATCATCTCCCTCCTCTACAACCCACTCTAGTTTTCTATCACTTTTGGCTGGCACTGGATTACCAGATTTCTTGCCTGTTAGTGTGAGCTTCTAACCATAAGGTTGGTGGTTCAAACACACCCAGAAGCTCAGAGGGAGAAAGACCTATCAATCAGCTCCCATAAAGATTGCAGTCTAGAAAACCCTATGGGGCAGTTCTTCTTTGTCACATGGGGTCACTAGGAGGTGGAATCGACTCGACAGTACCCAACAACAACAGTATGATCTTCATCCTTTAGGGGTCTAAGCCCTTAGTAGCCTTGCTCTTGTCGTACTATGGTTGCTGTAATTGTTCATCTATCATTATCATTGGACACGGAAGCACCAAAATGCTGTAATGAATCCCCCAAGTTTCGGACATACTCTTCCAGTCTCCATGTATAGCAGCAACTCTAGCTCCTCAAAATAATAAGGGTCAATTACCCCTGCCAGTTTAATAAAACTGGTCCATCTATGTGAGAGACCCAGTATAATCAGGTGGAGTTATAGCTTCAAGTTTCAGTGGAGTCTTTACTGTGTCCCTTGGTGAAAAGTATTCTCCTGCTGTGAACTAACACCAAAGTCTAGCACAGCCTGAAACTGTGGAGTCAAGAATTACAAACTCTGCAAGTAGATCTCTGGGAAGTGATTACAAAAGGAGCCAGTCTTACTTCTAGCCCTTTGTTCCTGGACATGGGTATCTATTGGGAACATAGTACCATGGTATCAGCCGTTGGTTCAGCACACACACCACATTGTGCAGAATAGCCCCATAAGCCCACAGGATGTTGTGCCTCGCCTGGCACCTCAGCTGAGCCATTGAAGCCATTCCAGAGTTCTATCAGGCCAGCTGGTTCTGGCTGATGTAGTATACGATAGGACCAGTGGATCCAATGGTCATGTGCCCATTGTTTCATCTTTTGCACTATAAAATGGGAACTTGGACCTGAGACAATGTTATGCAGAATCCTATGCTGGTAAATTGGACTCTCTTTTAACCCTTGGAAAACGGTGCTGGCAGCGATGCTAAGAGCAAGGAAGGCAAATATTTGGAGTAAGTGTCAATTCCAACAAGGATGAATCACTGCTCCCTCCAGGGTGGTGTGGCTGGCGGTCTCGAAGGGATGATATCAATTAAGAGTTCAGTGTTGGTATCTGTTGCTGATAGACTGGGCAATTAGCAGTTGCAATAGCTAGGTCGGTTCATAAGGAGTACCTGTGCTGTTGAACCCATGCCTAGCTCCCGTCTCTGTCACCATGACTATTCCCTCAAGGGCAGGTTGAACAAGGACTGGGGTGGCAAAGACAGTGGTGGACTGAATCACCCCCTCTGTAGTATATACTCACTGGTGGACATTAACATGTGACACAAAGATCTACATGCTTTGTTCCCACTCTTAAGTCCATCACGTGTTTCCTCCAAGTTTTTCTCCTTCCAAGACCCTGATCAATGAGCCGAATCAGTCACTATTGCCCAGGAGTTGATATAACCCTACCTGAAGCTACTTCTCTATAAACAATATATTGTTTGGGAGGATTTCCCCTCACCAGTGTCATTTGCTGCATCCCCTGAGAGGTGCTGTAGTAAGCCATCAACCCATCTTCAGTTCACGCCAATATATTGAGCTGGCTCTCCATAAACTAGATCCAATAATTTTCTTCTTCTATCAGCTGGTTATAGTAAACTCTCAATTAGGCCATAGGTATGAGATGAGGGAGAGACACTGGTATAATAAACATTGGTGCAAGTTACATGGGGATCTAGGTTATCTATTCATGTAGCTTACTTGTGCCCTCTGGCCCACTTAAGCCCTCTTGCAAATGAACCATTTCTACCATGTGATGGATCCCTGCAATATCCACTGACACTATGGTTTAGTGAATCTCAATGTTCAGCTCATGATGGGCAGCTTTGGTTGCATAATCATTTGAGCTGCATAGTCAGGCTCTCAGTCTTTACTGGGACTCATGCAGTAGCATGGAGGGGCTGCTTTTCAAATGACTTGCTGTCAGAGGAATGGCCTTGTCCCAGGACCCTGAGGTCTTGCACTGGGATTCTCCTGTAAGGGCTTGCCTAAGACTCCACACAGCATCCTTATTCACCATAGACACTGGATCTGCTGAGACATCGGGTCAAACAGCAGGACAGCTTGTATTGCAGCACGGACTTGATATAGAGCCCTCTCTTATTCAGGGATCTCCCTCAAACTGGCAGCCTTCCATGTTACCCAATAAATGTGCTAGAACTATATTCCTAAGTGTGGTATATGCTCCCTCCAAAAGCCAAGGAGGTCCACCAAGCACTCTGCCTCTTTCCTATTAATAGGAGTTTCAAGGTGCAATAACTTGTCCTTTAGACAGGTTGTTCAGCATGTCCTTGACTTTTGGAGCCATACAAACTTCATTAACCTAACAGGCCTCTAATCTTTGTAGGCTTTAACTTCCACTCTCTGACATAGATGTATCTACCACCGTATCTAGGGCAGTACTTCTCAAACTTGAATATGTACACAACCACCTGGGCAATCTTGTTGAAATGCAAATTTTCTTATTGAATCTTGTGGAGTCAATAAGTCTGAGGTGGGGTCCAATATTCTGCATCACTGGCCCCAATTTTTTTAATCCTCCCTTTATCCACACCCTTTGCCATATCACTTTGAAGTGTCTTCCACTAATGGGTAGAGTTTATTTTCCTACCTCTTGATGTTGAGTTCAGAGCTCTGGTGGCGCAGTGGTTAAGAGTTCAGCTGCTAACCGAAAGGTTGGCAGTTCGAATCCACCAGCTGCCCCTTGGAAACCCTATGGGGCAGTTCTACTCTGTCCTATAGGGTCACTGTGACTCAGACAGAATTGACTTGATGAAAATGGGTTCAGTTTTTGGGTTTTGGATGTTGAGTTCAGCCATGTGGCCTGTTTTGATCAATAAAATGGGGCAGGAAATAACGGTGTGCCAGTTCCAAGCCTAGGCCTTAAGGAACTTGTGTGTTTCTGTTTATTCGTTCACACTTCTGTCATCACATTAAGAATAATGGTCCTGGGATAGTCTGCTGGTCCCAAGAGGAGAACAAGAGAGAAATGGAGCACAGCTGAGCCACCTCAGCTGAGCCCAGCCTAGATGAGCTGACCTCCTGAAACTAAATAAACGCTTGCCTCTAGTATACCATTGGGAATTGTTGTTTGGTTGTTATATAGCAACAGTTTATTGATAAACCTGTCAAAATCTGAATAATCAAATAAAAAAGGAGCAGCTAGCTGATTGATATACCTGCCCAAAATTTGAATAGCTAAACACATATAAAAGGTGTAGGTTTACCTCCAGTATTTTTTAATATGTATGCCAATGCAACTCTAATTTGTTAATGAAATACTCAATCATATTTTAGCCCTGAAGAAATGAGATAATA